GACAGTGCTTCCAACGTTCCTGATCCTGTGCCAGAGTCTGAGGTTCGGCAGAAGACAAAATCCCCTGGCCCTTCTACCGATCAGTTTGGCAAGATACAATTACTTAGTCTTCCTTTCTGGAAGCATTCACAACACATGCCGAAACTATCGCAGCTGTGGATTCACATTCTGGAGAAGCAGAGGCTGAACACCAAGACTCTCCCGGATATCAGTATTCTGGACCATGTTGAGATGTGTAAGGCCAGCGACTTGTCTAAGAAAGCCCATTTCACCAGCTTGTACCCGAGTTCGAAACTTTTCAACTATGGTCCACGACTCATGACCGTAAGTAAGCATGGAGATAAAGATCGACCTGAACACCGAGAGCTTAGTTTCCAGACTCAGCTTTGCTTTAGTCACAATGGATCGAGCTAGTTCACGCAGAACGCCAATGGCTACTCCAATCCGAAGGTCGATCTCTTCTTCAAATTTTCCATCACTAGTAAATACGACTCCGAGGTACTTGAACTTCTTCACCTGTTCCACTTCCCCTCTGTTAATCTGAAGAGAGCAACGGGCAGGAGAACGAGAAAGCACTAGGCTTTTCTATTTAGATGCGTTCACACGCATGCCGGTCACGTCGCACTCCGCTGCAAACCTTTCTTTGGAACACTGAACATCAGTTTCAGTAGATGCTAATAAAATAATGTCGTCTGCAAACAACCTTCTCGCAACCTTCTCGTCTTCACATCTCCTACACCGATACACTCATGGCCTTAGCAGCTCTTGACTATTCTCTCCATGTACAATACAAACAAGATAGGGGACGGAACGCAGCCTTGGCGGAGACCAGTGCTAACGTTGAATGATTTCGACTTAACATCATTTATTCTGACGTAGCAGCTGGCCATATTTCCCGCATTCTCGCAGGCACGACTACGGACTGTTTCGTGGGATGCGGTCATAAGCTTTTTCTAGGTCAACAAACACGTACGCCGGACGGGTGTCTCCCACGATTTCTCAACAGTCTGGTGCAGGGCAAGACTATGGTCGAAGGTGTTCGACCAGACCGAAAGCCACACTACTCTTCTTGGATCTTGAGGTCAACTACTTCGCGGCACCTCGTTTCTAGCATCTTTCGTAGATTTTACCTGGAAGGCTCAATAACGTAATGCCCCTATAATTGGAGCATTTCTTGTGGTCTCTCTTCTTGAATAAGGGGACAACAACTCCCGTTCTGCAGTCCACTGGTGTCTTCCCTGTATTCATTGCAGTTTGACAGATGCGTCTAAGCCAGCACATGCCTTGTTCGCCTTATGCATTGAGCATTTCAGGGCGAATTTCATCAATTCCAGCAGCCTTTCCATTTTTCAAGCGTTTCACAGCTGGTGTAGTTTCATTTTCACAGATAGTAATATCCGTTCTCTGCTGCTGTACAGGCGAGTCTTCCTGCGGTTGTTCGGGGTCAAGGAATTCCTCGAAGTATTCTCTCCATCGTCGAAGAATTTCAGTATCCTTGGTAAGAGGCTGTCCACAGCTGTCTTTCAAGACTCTTAGACTACCCTTCTTTTCACCTCGAAGTAAGCGGATGTTCTGCCTGAATACCTTGTTTGCCGTGTTAAAATTCGGCTCCAACACCTCACCGAACTTCTCCCAGGAATCAGTTTTGGCTTTCGCCACTGCTTTCGCAGCCGTCTTGCGTGCCTCGACAAATCGCACTGGAGCAGAAGGCTCTTTGTTTCCAACCATTTTCTAAACGCTGGTTTCTTCTCTTTAACTGCCAGTTGTACGTGTCCACCATGAAGCTCTTTTCTGACCTCCAGCCTGCAGCCAACCCGTTTAAATCCGCAGCGTTCGGCGGCAGCGTCAAGTTTGCCCTCTTAAAGAGCTGCCACTCGGTTTCCACATCGGTGGTCATCACCGGGATCTGTTCAAACCGTCGTACGATGTTTGCAAATTTCGCTCTCGTGTCCACCGAATATAATGTTTCCCATTAGATTTTTCGGTTGCTTCTGCCACCAGATCTTCGTATGGTACTCCATTTCTTACAGCGCAGCGTGCCAACAACAAGGT